TTGAATCTTTCAAAAAGAAAGGCTTGATTACTTGCAACACATTTCCAGCAATGGAAACTGCGGAGTGGATATTCTTTATCGACTCATTAAATTCAGTCTTAAAGGAGTTTTGCTGCACAATGGCAACAAACATCCGTCCGTTCCGGTCGATCATACTGTTTACACGAAAGAAAATTACATCATCAAGATAATGCTGGATAAGATAAAATACAACGAATATAAATGGAATGTGTGTGCCGACGTCAAAATTGTTGCAATGCTAACAGGTCTTCGAGGAGAATACACTAAATTCTGTTGTTTTTTATGTGAACGAGACAGTCGAGAAGAACTACTTGGTAAAAAAAAGTGGCCCCACAGAGAAAGGTTTTATCAGACTCTCTGTCAAATGGAAAAGCGATATAGCGGAAGGTGGAACGAAAACGTGTTTTGCTGGACTTTACAGCGAGAGACTTTAGAAAAAGAATATAAAAGGAAGAAAACGTGTCATTAAGTGTTTCATTTTTTATATAAATAGAATTATAAAAAAGGAGAAATTAACATAAGTTTATAGACAATTTCATGGTGAACTCAGGATATATTCTTCCAATTAGAAAGTTCAGACTATGTACGAAAATTTTTTTTAATTTTTGAGTCTATCTAACAATCCATTAACACAACCACAGAAGTACCCGTAACATTGTTGAAGAAAACCTTCAATAAAAACAAATAATGAATAGGTAAAAAACTCACAATATTAAAAATGATCAAAACGTCAGCCTTTTATTTGAGGTTCTGACGTCTTTTACATTAAAAACAACAAGTCTTCTCACACTACCATCAAATAAAAGGCTGACGTTTTGATCATTTTTAATATTGTGAGTTTTTTACCTATTCATTATTTGTTTTTATTGAAGGTTTTCTTCAACAATGTTACGGGTACTTCTGTGGTTGTGTTAATGGATTGTTAGATAGACTCAAAAATTAAAAAAATTTTTCGTACATAGTCTGAACTTTCTAATTGGTAACATAAATTTATTTGTATCTAATTAGCCAATTGTTATAGCAATGCGTGTAGCCAATAAATATATTTTGAACAGAAAATGTTTTCCTTCAAAAACCTCATTAGGTTTTTGAAGGAAAACATTTGCTGTTCTCAAAAGTGGTGGTTGCTAGGCCAATTCTGTTGGCAGATTCGAATTCATCACCGTTAAAATTATAAAAATCAGTAAAATTGTTTGATGTATTTGTCACGTGGTATTTATGGTCCCTATTATATAATGACATTCCCATTTGAATAAATACATAATTATGAATATTTAATTATATAGATTTATTTTCAGAATGTAAAGGGGATTTATTTTATATAATAGTAATATCATTAACATTTCTTTAATTATTTATATCAATACGTATATTTCTATTTTCTTTCAGGCAACATATTATTGAAGATGCGTTATCAAATTATCCAAGGTGTGTCTTAATAAATAATTTAAGCTCTTTTTCCATGCTATTTTTACAAACGTAATTATTTAAAGATTTCAAATGCAAGATAAAAATATTTAAATTACTGTGAAATGTATCAATACATTCTGTTCGTGCTTAAGACTCCAATTAAAAGCGTCGATAGAAATGAAAAAAACAGGGGCTCTAGTCTATATGAGAAGTTGTCCAATGACATTTGGTGACGTCGCGGTCAGAATCGACTGTGACATCACCAAATGTCGTTCGACTCAATTCACTATTATAAAGTTGCCCGTTACGGGCTTAACAACTTCCGCATTTATTTAGCCTATAGGAAAGCACGATACAAACTAAAATAGTTACAAGTGGTGTTGTTTAGCAATATGGCGGAGAAGGCAGTAACGGCGAGGCGGTTCAAACAAACAATGTAACGGATAATCAGGTGACACGCGGAAAGTCACTTCTCTCATTGCAGACTTAGCTACGGTGAGAAGTTCTGATCTCACACAGCAGACTAGAGCCCAGATATTCTTTCTCTCGAATAAAGTGTTCAGTTTTGTAGAAGATATAGCCTATTAAAAACAGCTTTACGAGTTATAAAGGCTAACAGAAAGATCCATTAAGTGCAGCCTACCTGATATTTCTAGCGCACATTCTACGACTATAATGATTCTTTCATTGGTGAAAACTTTTTAAGTGTGTAAATTTCAATGTTTGTTTCAGTATGTTATATCATTTGATGGCATCTCGTCATTGTTTTTATTGTCATTGTATGTTAAGATATTAAATGTACTGTACTCTGTAAGCTTAAAAGAACATCTGATCCTAATCTGAGAATGGGTAGAATTCTTCAAGGAAACTGATTTAAATTTTTCAGCAAATACATCGAAATCTTAACTGAATTTTTAATGTGTATACAATTGTTATTTCTGCTTATTATATATTATACATATTACTTTGATAATATACTATGTTAATATCGATTTCAAAATATCTGTGATATGTATAAAAATTTTTCTCTACATTTTAAAATATAAATAAAATATTTATTATTCGATTAAACGTTTTTTCTTCTGCGTGTGTTTAGAACCTATTACAGTAACTTAACGAATACAGACAGAAAATAGAACTTTTTTAATACCGGTTAAAACTAAAGGATGGCGGAAAACATTCGTTAGAAGCACTCAATCTGTTGCAATAATAAATTGATATTTAATATATATCAACGTTACAATAATGTATTAATATTTGCTGAGGTTTATTTTGGAAAAAAAGAGAAAAATTACACACACAAAAGAGATGAATGATTTAACAATTATAATATGATAAATAAGTACCGAAAAATAATTATAGAAAATTATTCTTTCAAATAATTTACGGGAAAAAGTATTGTATATGAATACCGAATAGAAGTACAGTACAAGATCTAAACTTTAGGCACTACCCTAGTGTTCAGTGGTTTTATCCAATAGGCCACTGGAGGAAAACCAGTGGCCAACTGGATAAACCACTGAACACTGGTAGTTGGGCAACGTGGGGTTTTCTTTACGTCAATAACACCAAATAGGGGCCAGTTTTCCACAAAAGACCTCCCGGGAGGCATTCTCTTCGGCAGATCGGCCATGTGCCGCATTGCCTTAATTAATCGAATATAATAAGCCTTTAGGCTTATTACGTTATAAGACTATAATATACCGTCCAGTGAGAACTAAATTAGATTTTCGTTATTTAAATCAAATAGCACTGTTGTTGATCCAAGCGGAATTTAATGCCGCAAGATCAAGACAACTCTTCCCTTCCAAACCTGGACGAAAATGATAAAATGCTATTTTAATTTACGTTTTCTATCGTTTCGGCCATTTCCACGTACGAATAATAATCACGTAGTATATCGTTATTCTGCTTTTATGTTTTGTTATGAGATACTAGTCACATAGAATAGTCGATTAACATGTAATAGTCATATTAACCGGTTAGCTAAATAATGAAACAGCATTCATTGGAAATAAAGAAAAATTGTCCAAGATGAGAGAGTACTCTAAAAGGGATACATTTGTTCACTAAGATTTCACGCTCCTAAAATATTTAGGACCTATAAATAATTCAAGATGTGGAGTTTGAAATCAGCTTTATGATCGTTACGTTTTTCTTGTGGTAAATAAATATTTAATAACGAATAATTTAATTTTGATATCGATTGAATTACGGAATGACCATAACTATCCTGTAAAGGCCCTATTCGAAGCACTCGTAACCAATAAGTGGATTGACACCAAAATTTGTATACAGACTACGCAAAGTATGCGGAAAACGATTTTGTAAAAAAACAAAAAAAAAATTAGTCAGGAGTTTTTTTTTTTATATAAGAAAGTAAATGAAACAAAACAGTAAATGTCGAAGATCAACTTCAAAGTGACATTTTAACCTGTTATTTTAAACATTACGAATAAAGTCAGTGTAAACAATGACACGGATCTGAATCTGTGCGATTTCTAGTTGTGGCACCACTTAAAGAATATAGTTTATCGTGGAAATGTTGCAACTCTGGTAGACATAAATGATCGTATTGCGCTGCACTTACGAAGCGTTACTGGCGAGCAGTCGCAGTCTGCTGGAGAATACATTGTGTCATCTGCTTGAAATTTTACACCAGAACAATGGGAGATACATTGAGCTACATTCTTTACATCAGTAAACAGACTCTACAGAAGGTATATCCCTTGTGGAACAAATAAATACATTTTCATTTTGTTTATTTTCCTGTTAAAGTATACGTGTTTGAACTATTTTTTCTTTTTTGTGCAAAATCCTTTTCTATATCATTTGCATAGACTGTACAAATTTTGGTAATCACTCTGCTTATTGGTTACAGCTACAAGTGCTCTGAATAAGGAAACTTTAGTTACGGCCACCTTGTATATACATTAATATTTTTTAATGTAGATTTCTATAAATACCGATGGCGACAATGGTTTTCTGAAGATACGATAGAATCTTTTCTTTCCATGAAACCCAGCTTGAAAACAACCATCTTTACTTAAATAAGAACTAATGATAAATATGTCATTGTTTTTAACGCATCTCGTTATTGTGTGAAGTTTTTATCATTACATTCGTTCATTACGCCAAAAGTTAAATATTTTAAGTTTATTCCGTTAAAGTGTTCTCTTAAAGCTGACAGAAAGTCAATAAAATATAAAGTTCAAAATCACACCCCTTTTACGTTTCGTTCTTGTCCTTAAATATGTATCGCTGTCCATTATTCAAGAAATCGTCAAGGTTGGCAATAGCCGTCAAGGTGTAAATGTAGATAGAATATTAATGATGCAACACTTACGACCAGTTGTCCCGACGGATATCGCTTACAGTCACGAAACACGAGTATTCGGGCACAATCGATTGGAAACAACAGTGACACATCTGTTATACAACTAATAAGTAGTAATAATGACTTATTTGTTATATATTATTTCATTGTATACTTCGTACGAAGTTTAAAAGCGATTTCGATACGTGACATTCTGACATTATAGCCTACTGTACTGTGAAAATCAAATTATTCTCACGCTACAGAAATGCCTCGTAATGTAAGTAGTATTAAAATATTTGCAAGGTAAGGTGCGACGTTTTATATTAATTTTTATAATTTATTAAAATTTCAACTTTAAATTTCGTCACCAAAGGCGTGTGTAAGAGTAGAACCACTAGTGCCGTAACGCTACCAATTGTTCCGTAATTGCTCTTTTTAAAGAAAAAGATGAGTCTCGTTCGGTAATTTTTTTCTTTAAAAAAGTATGTCATAATATTATATCAAGTTACTTAAACTTATCTTTTTTATATAGCCTTGAAAAAATGTTACTTTACAAACCATTAAAAGACTTCGTTTTAATTGTAAATGAAGTTAATTATATATTTTGAATGATAAAATTTACACTATATAAATGATTACTCGTAATTAACGGGATAAACTTCATTTACAATTTAAAAAAATATATTTTTAATGGTTTGTAAAATGAGGCACTCGTGATTTATATTAATTGTTGAGTTTTCGATACTTTTCCATCCCAACAGACAATAAAAGAGTGTTATACTATTGTTTCTTACAAAGAGTTTTCGCACATCTTCTTCCTTTTTATGTTAAAATATTGCTTAAATATTTAATATATTCGAACAAGGCCGTGTTTAATAACAGAACTTTTAAATTAACTCTGCGATCCTTGAACTCGTTTCCGACTAGTTATTGACTCTTTCTTCTCTGCGAGAATTTTAAGTAGTTCGGTCAGTATACTTTATCTATATCAAGTTCTGCTACTGACTGGTGTCATTACTTTTGTCAGCTACACGTGCAAGTTTGTAAGAATGCCTTCACGTGCTGGTTTAAATGTGTTTATTTATAACTATTCACCAAGAATAAAGTGGAGGCAAATATATTTTATAGTACTAGATTTCAGTAGAAAAAAGATTCCTACGTTTTTCATACACATAAATAACAACTGATTCTTTATATCTATAATAACCATTCATTGTTACTTCGTTTCAAGGCCGTACACAATAGTGTTTTTTGGAGGTTAAACTTTTTCCGTTTGACTATTTAAAAAGAAAAATGTTATGTTAAGAAAACTATTCCTCATAACTTATATTTATTTTGACCCATTAAGTTCCTCCTAACTCTAATATATTCTGTTATTCTACACATCAATGGTTCGCAACCTTTTTCGTTTTGCATAGTGGCACATTCTTAATGGAATGTAACAATGAATTATATAAGCTAGTATCTCTTTTGCGTGTTCTTTACATGAAAATTGCAATGCCTTACATAAAATATGTTCTATGAGGTCTTCATAAACAGATACTTCTTCACAAAATTTTTTAAAGTATTATTTACGGTTTAAATTCGAAATTACGTAATCCATTATGTTGTCACTCGAAGGATGCGCGAAGTAATGTTTAGCATCACCTAAAAGAAAACATCACAAAACTATGTAAAACAGCTTCAATAAACAATTTGCCATCAAATTTTTAAGTTTACTTAAGCTTCTATTTACTCCTAGAAATGTTTTCATACTTCTGTTAGTAGAATTCCAGTCTTTAATAATAAAGTAAGATACAAAATGCTTTTCGCAAACGAAATCTCTTAATTTGTAAAGTTTGTCTTCTCTAGGAATCATTCGCACCACTTCGATAATAATTCCGAAACTTTAGGTCCTTTAAATAATCTTATTCTTCGAACACGTGGCTTATCTAGCATTGCATCCAGTCACAAAACATGTTTTGTCCTAATAGAACACGCCGTTACACGCGAAAATACCCAACTACGATTATTGCATCCTCAAGTAGATAATTTGTGAACAAATAAACATATTGGACTGTTTTGAAACAGACTTCCCTCACCTTTTCTTCTTACAATAAAATATTTTCAAAATTAGCAAAAGTAATTAGGTGTAGTACAATTATATTTTAGAGAGGTAAAAGTTTTGCCAAAAGTGCCGCGTTACATACTTGTTAGTTGAGAAATGGTTAATGTTTATTTTCATAATAATTTTTTTAATTATTAAATTTTCGCTTATCCGCAGAAGCCCAAGATGGTTTGTACTTATGTGGACCGGGCGGTCTCCGGAGCATTCGGCAAAACCGGGAGTTTCGTCGGCAGACATCCTTGGTATTTCGTTTTGCTTCCTCTGGGATTATCCGTTCTACTGGCCACGGGTTTCCTCCGAATCAACGTGGTAATCGGTATCGAACATCTGTACGCTCCCGTCGACGGAAGAACCCTGGACGATAAACTGCTGGCCACCGAGCTTTTCCCCATGAACGTCTCTTCTAATTTCGATTTGGGCCGAATGACGAGGACGGCGAAATTCCTCATCGTGTTGATCACCGCAAAAAATGGCGGCAACGTCCTGACGAAACCCGTAATGGAGGAATGCGTCCTGTTGGATAAGGCTATTCGAGCTCTGTCCGTACCAGCGGATGGAAAAAACTTGACTTACGTAGACGTCTGCTCTACGAAGAGAGGGAGATGCGTTAAAAACGACCCCGGAATATTGGCCGAAAGCATAGACGAGGTGCTTCGAGGAAAAAAGAAGATCAAATACCCACTTTACATCGACGAAAGAACTTACAGGTACGTTTAAGTTAATCTATTAAATAGCAAATGTAAGAACAAATTGCCAATACGAGTATATACGTTGTTTAATAAATCGTATAATATAGAAAAAGAATTAGACCTATAGTAATTATACCGAACAAAAATACATTTTATATAAAGTTTAGTTTCTATGTATTTGTGCTGGCGTGTTGATACGCATTTATATATATATACGATATCTTTGACGTAGTTTCGTTTTTTATGGCACCATATTGGGAGGCGTCGAATTAGATTTCGAAGACAACGTAAAATCGGCCGAAGCCTTTCGTTTCCTATATTATTTAGACGACGGCGACGGCGAAAGAAATAGACTGTCGACGTTGTGGGATGCGAAAGCGGTCGAATATTTGGAAACTCATTCGGGCGAAAATATCGACGTCAAGTGGTTTTCCAGATGGTCTTACAGCAGAGAACTGAAGAAAGTCACCAGATCGACCGCTAAGCTGCTGGTCGTCGTCTTGGTGTTGGTCGTCGTTTTCAACTTTTTCCTATTTATGAACAAGAGATGGACTCGAAGCAAACCGTGGTTAAGTGTGGCCGCCGTCTTCTGCGTGTTGTTGTCTATCGCCGCGGCCTGGGGACTGTGCGTTTATTGCGGAGTGGAATTCACCAGTGTGGTCGTCTTCGATTTTTTCTTGACCATGGGTAAGATTTTCACTTAATAGAGAAAAATGGCTCCGTGTAATAATAATTTTCCCGTAGGTCTCGCAACGAAAGACACGGCCGTGTTGATATCGGCTTGGAGAAGAACCGAAGCCACCGAAACTGTGGATAAAAGACTGGGAAAAGCTTATTCCGAAGTATTCGTGTCCGTTACTATGGTGTTTCTGATTTCTTTAATTTGCTTTTTAGTAGGATTGGCGGCTCCGTTTCGGGCCGCGAAAATATTTTGTACTTACGCGGCTGTGACCAGCCTCTTTTTCTTCTTGTACGAAATTACGTTTTTGGGAGGATGCTTGGCTCTCAGCGGATACAGAGAGAGGAAGAAACTACATCCTCTGATTTGCGTCACCGTCACGTCAAAAAAATCTAACAGAGGTACGTTGTTTTTATTTGATCCGGTTTAAACGGCGTTTACATGTTGTTTTTCCAGATGGAAGATGCTCTCTCTTCTGTTGCACGGAAAACGGAGAATGCGGAACACCCGAAGAAGATTTCTTTATTTCCTTTCGTGTATGGGAGAAATATGTATATTTCGTACAAAAACCCCTGAGTAAAATTGTAGTTTTTCTCTTGTACGCTGCCTATTTGGGTGTCGCTATCTGGCAGTGCACGAAATTACGAGTGGCGTCGGGAATCACCGATCCCTTTCCTTCGGATTCTTACATTACGACTTACTACGAACGTCATTATAAATATTACACCGCTTATCCTCACAGAGTGCAAGTAATAATAGACACTCCGTTGAACTATTCGGATCCCGTAACTCAGAATAAAATAGAAGAAGTTATGCAAAGCTTTGAAAATTCTACTTACGCCACGGGCGCCGTGTCGTCCTGTTGGCTGAAGATCTTCTTAAGTATAGTCAATAATCCCAAGAAAAATTGGTTGTTCAGAAGTTACGATTTTTCTCTGGAGGAAGAATTTATCTTTGTACTAAAAAACGTGTTTTTCAAATTGCCCATGACTGCGGATATTGCTACCGATGTCGTTTTTAACGAAGAGGAGACTCAAATTTTGGCAAGTAGATGTTTTTTTCAGACCCGTAATATTAACGATGCGGAAACCGAAAAAATGATGTTGGAAGACTTTTATAGGATCGCCGACGACTCTCCCATACCCGTTCGATTTACCAGCATGCTATTTCGCATGTACGAACTGGCAACTATCATACGACAACTAGTCTTATGGATGCTACCTATAAGTTTCTGTGTCGTTTTAATAGTGTTTTCCCTCTTCATTCCTAACATTCCTTGCATATTATTGGGTTCTCTTTCCGTCACGTCCATTCAGATAGGCGTTTTAGGTTTCTCCAACCTTTGGGGAGTTAAAATCAATTCCTTCTATTCCATAATATTTGTCATGTTAGTGGGATTGTTATCTAGTTATCTCTGCCATTTATCTTACGCCTTTTCTGCCTCGGACGAAGACACTAAAGGAAAGATGATGTTCGCTTTAAAATCTCGAGCGGCGGCCATTATCCAGAACACTCTCCTCCTGATAATCTCACCCGCGTTTTTAATGATAGCCACTAATCAGGTGTCCATAATATTTTACAAAATGTTCTTTTTGGCAGTGGTTTTCGCTTATGTTCATGTTTTGATAGTTCTTCCCACTCTTTATTCCCTGATTTTTGGATTTCGTGGGAATCAAAATAGATCTTCGCCGAATCTCTATCGGATGGACAAGGTAGCAGCCAGCGATCCTCTTAAAACATGAAATAATTGAATAACTGTTTAATTAATGCGCTTCACAATTTGGCTTTTATACTGTATTTCTGAATCTTGGAGTATTTGGACGTTAGATTTATATATAAAAGCCAAATGAAATACGAAGCCCGTTTGAAATATCGCGATGTTAATTATTCGTTATTTTCACGCAACTTCATTTTTATACTGTTTCAGAAACAATTGATTTATTTTTGTATTTTCAGCTAAAATTATTCCATTTTTCAAATAAATGATACGACTATTAAGATTGGTTTAAAAAATTCTTTGTTTTAAAGATTATGAATGTAGTCAAATCTCGGGTTTCGAACATTTTTTACGCCATATTTGCCCCGTATGCGAGTAAGATACTACACTGTGAGCCGCAATTATTAATTCGATTTAATTGACATTCGTGTTAAAAGTGCTTAACTCAAATAAAAATATATTAAATATTAGCTTATAGTGGAACCTCGGTTAACAAACTTTTATTTTGCAAAAATTCCATCTCGGATAATGAACGTAACGTTTTTTTTTTTGTTTTTTTTTTTGTCAAATTTTAGTTGCTGCTAGGCGTGCGTGAAGTAAGCATTGCTTTTCAGAGTGTTTGTGCTAATCACAGAACTGAAAAAGTTCATGTATTTAATCAATATGGCACCCAAGAAAGAAAGTGATAGTGTAGCATTAAAGAAAGAAATTATTGCAAAATACTAGAATGGCATTCGTGTTAAAGTTTTAGATGAAGCTGAAAAACTGTTGCTAGTATGGATCAATGAAAAGCAACTTGCTGGAGACAGTGAAACTACAATTTGTGAAAAGGCAAAAATTTACACAGTGACTTGTTGACCCAAACATCCAGTACAAGTGCAGACGGGCAAGACTTTAAAGTGAACAGAGGGTGGTTTGATAAGTTTCGTGGACGAACTGGCATTCACAGTGTCATAAGGCATGGGGAGGCTTCAAGTTCAGATGGAAAAGCAGCAAAAGCATTTGTGGACAAATTTGCAGAGTTTGTAAAATCTGAAGGATACGTCTCAAATCAAGTGTTTAATTGCGACGAGACTGGTCTTTTTTGGAAAAAAATACCTAGACTAACAAACAACACAAGAAGAGAAAGCACCACCAGGACAAGCCCATGAAGGACAGGCTCACCTTTTTATTTTGCACTAATGCAAGTGGTGACCTCAAAATCAATCACTTTTAGTGTACAATGCCGAAAATCCCTACGCCTTTAAGAGCAATAATGTTATGAAGTCCAAACTGCCTGTCCAATGGAAGGCAAATTGCAAGGCATGGGTAACTTGAACTTTATTTATGGATTTGCTCAGAGAAGTATTTGCTCCAATTGTCAAAAACTATCTTCAGCAAATGGATCTTCTCTTAATGGATAATGCCCCAGCAATCCACCAAATTTGGAGGAAGATCTGAATAGTGAACACGACATCATCAAAGTCAAATTCCTTCCTCCATTACTGCAATCAATGGATCAGCAAGTGATTTCCAATTTTAAAAAGCTGTATACCAAGGCACTGGTAACCTGGAAACACCTGGCGAACAATGATACGGGCTTAACCGTTAGAACTTTTTAGAAGGTGCATTTTAACATCCTGCATTGTATGAACCTTATTGACAAAGCCTGGAGTGAGATCTCGCCGCACTTGGATTCAAATTCCTCAAAGTTTCGCTCTGGGACACAAGTTGGCCAGTTTCCTCCAGGCCGACTGCACAGAGCTCTCCCGGTGTAGTTCATTGGCAAGAGTTTGGGATTAGATGATACAGACTTGGAGTTGATAAAGGACCATCAAAACGAACTATCCACAGAAGAGCTAGTTGTCTTGCAGGAAGAACAGGCGAAAGAGAGATACAAGAGCAGCTCTTAGGGAAGAAATCACTGGTGCCGAGATCAAGGAAATTTGCAGGAAATGGAATGATGTGCAGGAATTTATTAGCCAAAACTTTGTTAGGGTGGTGGTTCTCGATAGGGTCATTAATTTAATGAACGACAATGCGATATCGCATTTTAGAACTTTTTATTAAAAGAGTAAGACAATCAACTTTATACAACTTTCGTGTTCCTTATCAAGAGAGACCTCGACTCGAAGAATCTCCCGATGCAATGTTACCCGATATTTTTACCCTTTCAAGAATTAAACTTCGTACAGTACATCTCCACTCCTATGCCACCAATTTGCTGCTGTAACGATAGATACTACGTTTTCCTATATTTTCAAAGAAAACCCATTTTACAAATAAAATTTAAGAGGCTAGAACGGATAAATTGTATTCGCATTAATTTCTATGGGAAAAATTGCTTCGGTTAACGAACAGTCGCGGAACGTATTAAGTTCGTTAACCGAGGTTCCACTGTATATTATAACATTTAGTACTTATTAATACTAGGTAGCCGGTTAAAACTAAAAATAATAATTAAAATTATGACCTTTAATTTTGATTTCGCTTTTAGTTTCGGTGTGTATAAAGTACTGAATCAGGGTAGGCAACCCCGGATATGTCGGCCTTCCCTTTAACACCTGGCGCTCAATGCTCAGCTAAACAAACTTCATATATTTTTTTTTTTTAAATCTTTAAAAGTCTAGCAACGAGAGTTGCTTAACTTTCCCGGTTATGAGTTACTAAGCAAAAAAGTCTGTGGCGCCATCTGTTACGAAATGTTTTTATAACAAAAGCTGCTATTTTTAATAACTATATAATGGCAAAAGGCTTAATTTTGATTGTAGGGATAAGATTTATAATTTAAAAAAAAGTATAAATGTTAATGATTTTATTCGTTGTTAAGTCCTACGCCTCTCCCCACTCTCGAACTTTCCACCACCAAAATTTAATAGCATCGATGCCCTCCATATACGAGCCACCATGCCAAATTTCGTTTCGTAATATCTCGGGATGGGATGAAGATAAAGCGAAATCGACGCAAACACACATCCACGGAATTTTTTTTGTCGGTTTTTTACTACTCGAGTGTCAAATTTGACACATTCCAATACTTTTCCTCATATATACATAACAGTCGGGAAAGTAAAATATACTCTTTATTGGTATTTACTGTCGATGGGTAGGGAGAGGTGACTTATTGAATCTCCAAAATGTGACGGTCGAGCGGTCAAGGTGGCAACCTACCGCTCTGGGGGACCCGGGTTCGAATCTGGACGGGTCGATAAATCCCCAGGAATTTTTCGTCGGGTCCCGTCCCTCACCACCCGGTCGCTTCATCGTGGGCCTGGCCGAATCCGTAACGGGCTTGAATAGAGGCCCTCTTAGTGCACACGGGGCGGAGTTAAAAAAACTCCATAATGTAATAGAATCGAAGTTTTTGATAGATAATCGGGATGCTATTGCTAACTCGATCGCAGTAACAAAATAGCGTCTAAAATGCAATTTTGGGGTTTTTTGCCCTTGTAAAATTTTAGGAAATAAAGACAAGGTTTCGATTGCCGATAGATACTCAAATCCCAGGATAAATTATTTCACTGAAAATTAACACTAAACATTTTCAATTTGTCCGAAAAGGATACTATTATTAAAGTTTACCGTATTTGTTCTGTAAATTACAATATCGCCGACTTTCGTTCGTCCGCATTTTTCCCGTTCAACGTTAACATTCGTCCGTATACTTTTCTATAATGATCAATTTTTCATATATTTTACATTAAAAAACAATTGAACATAGTAAAAAGAAGTAAGCAAAATTAAATCTAAACTAAAAAAGCCGTGTATAATTTACTCTCTTTACCGAGTTCAATTAAGTTTCCGGGCGCTTCTAACTTTCCAGAATTGCCATTCCGATTCATAGAATATTTATATCCAGATATATTTCTATTGGCTTAAAATTTTTGTATCATCGGTACGTCAGCTAAATAGAAAACGTTTTTCAAGAGACTCGTTACGAACTCGGCCCGATGAAATTACGAATCGATGCGTTCTTCGGCTTTAATACAAAACTCGATCTAACGATAAAACTACTTATTTTCGACTTAAGTGTCTATCGAACGTCATTTATTGCATTTTTTATACACGTACAAATGTAGAAAGCTTCGGAGGGTGCGTGCTGATTTAATACACTGACGCAACAATTCATATCACTTCTTAAATATTAGATATAAATGGCCGAGGAACAGTCTATTGAAACCTATTAGAATAAAAAAAAAAACTAACATATTTCCCGAATAGGCGAAGCTGTTTTCTTAATGTAAATTTTAGAATGCGATAAAAAAAAAAAAATGTTTACGTCGATCGATTTTAAAGTGCATCATTACAAATTTTGAATACCTCTTACAATATCATTAAATAATATCATTAAATAATAATCGCTCGATATTAGTTTTAAGTGATAATACAATCAAATTACAAAGTTTAATTTACAGAATGCGAAATGCATTCATTTTTGCACGCTCGCTCCATTTGACAAAATAATTTATGGAAACACACGATTATTAAAAATAACTTTTAAAAATAATGCACGTTCATGTAATACGTATGAACGCGCACTCGTGGGAAGAATGACAGTATTTTTTTTGACGGGGTGGACACTCGGCTCTTATACGGAGAGAGATTGATGCCTTTTCTCCAAGGTCGCACTCCCCGTATAAGAACCGAATTTAATTGTCTTAAATACTGATATTTCAAAAGAATTGTTTCACTCGACGCGACGGTATTTCGTTTATTATGTACTATTACTACTACTTTCAGAACTGAATAATCGTGAATTGTTTTAACGAACAAGTTCACAGTTAAGTTTCATATAATAAATAAATAATGGTGTAGAAATAAGAAAGAAAAACAACTCAATTGCTCTTGCCAGAAGACATTTTACTGACCGCTGTGTATTTTTAACAGTAGGAAACTCAACAATTGGTAACATACCAAACCCAACCAACATCTTAGGCCACATTTGGAAAGACAATGGTAAATATAGCCATTGGTTTTGACAAATGATAAATTGATATTGATGATTTTTTTTTGCATTTTTTTTTAAATATATATATATATTATACTGCATTTCCTTCACTTGCGTGAAGAAATTCGTCGATTAACAAATACTTCAATACTTTTAATCTGCATTTATCTTTCTGATTTTTGGATTACACAATACATTAATTAGCAACCCGTGTTGTACAAAGTTAAGAACAATCCATTGCCAGTCTGCAATGTTATATTCCCATCCAGTGCCTACTTACTATTTCCTGAAACTTAACATGTAATACTTTCGAGGCATTACAACATGTACAGCTGCACATTGGATTTTCCCCTCTTGTAATAGCACAAATACATTTTTCACAAGAAGCCCATTACGAATAATTTTACTGACGCATTTTTTTCTCTCTCTTATTGAATTTATGGTTTTTTTTTTTAATATTTTTCTTCTAACATCAGGCTAACTATTTTTGTTTAGCTTTTTTTATTATGTAGCTTTTTTTTTAAGTACACACAAAGCTGCTCCCCACTCTTGGGAAAATGGCCCATGCTCTGTATTCCTACATTTTTTTTTTTCTGCATGGGGTGCCATTGACATTAATACATCTACAAGATCTATGACTACTATTGTATTATACAGTTTTCGGGAGTGCAGAAGGGTGGATACATCACATTTTTTTCAGTGCTATCTCACTGAAATGTATACTGATATATATATTTATATAATCTTTCTGCATCTCTCATGAAAAAGTCCATTCATTTGAAAATTTTGCGGACATTAACTGGCCGCTACCAGAAATTATGGACAGTACCACACCGACTGCTGGCACCATGTCAATTTGTTTTTTAAAAAGCACATGATACAAAGCAACAACAGAAAATTCAAATGGAAGTTCAATTTGTACACAAACAATGTCAGTGCAAACAGTTTACTTGGGCTACGATACAGTTAGTTTTTTTTTTTCTGTACATATGTTTCTAATGTCACCGGCTCTATCGTTCAAAATTACAATTCGATACGAGTGCATCCGTAATACAGAAAGACGTTGCTGGCAAAAGCTTAATTTTTTTAATCATCTATTCCACCTATTACCTCTTATTTTTTTTTAATCTTTATATTATAATATAAAGTAACTCAAATTTACATTTAGCCCATTTTAAACTGATAACTTGTTCACCGAGGAAACTTGCTATGCACGACTGTTTTCGTTTGAAACACCGTTTAGTGTTATAACGATTAAAATGTTTGATGCGTTAGACAAAATAGAAGCTCAAAAATACAAATTTAACGATCACTTTTTAGCAAGCTGCTGAAAAAAATAACAGAATTGTTTAGAAAATATTTTACTCTAGCACCAGCTTATGGCAAAAGTCATTGAGTGTTTTAATCGGTATAACGTCTCGAGGAAGAGAGTTCCAACGACCACAGCATTGTGCAAAAGATTCATACTGACCCTGTACTTTTTATATAGATGCCACAGGCTCTTTTAGGGGCAAGTTTCCTGTAATGGAACAAATTTATCATTAATATTAGGCTATTATACAAATCATAAAAATTTCATCATGGAATACAATGAATATTCATACATTTTGTCAATCAATTAGTTTTCATTCTTAAAAATTTAATACTTAGAGTACAATATAATAATTGTTTTCTTCTTCCTTTAAAGACAATATTGCTAAACAATTTATTTAGGCTGAACTGCAAACTTTTAGACTAGATAAAATATAAGAAAATACTTTGGTTGCAGTCCCACAATTTTTTTTTCATTTGTTATTTGTATTGAATGAATGCTCATGAAAAATAAATATGTGAAGCATCGAAGTTAACTGTATTTGGTACAAAACATGAAAATAATATAAAGAAATGAGAAAAAAAAATTCATCACAAGCACTGTGCAGATAATAATAAACTTTTGATATGGAAATTGACAGTGTTATAAAATTGATTGCACAGAAAATTTGATCTGTATTAATTGCAGAATTTTGTGAAAATTTGGGTGTTTTAGTTAATTTTTTTCTTTTAAGATAATGCTCATAACATTCATTAATCACTGCCAATAAATCTTTCTAATTATTAATGAAAATAACGATTATTGAAATATGGACGATGTTGTTCTGCATTGTTTTAATACTATTTGACGCCTATGTAAATTCACTATTATCCCAAACAGTATATTTATGCACTGATTAAAAAAACCTCAATGGATAGTGATATAAACCCTAATGTAACTAGTTTTCTTTAGTTTGTTTCTTTGACAGAAAAGAGGGAGGACAAAATTGACGCAAGGCAGTGACTGTACATTTTGTTGTTGTTTTTTTGTTAAGTTGAATTTTTTCTTTCAGCACCAAAATAATCCCCAACAATTGCAATATATTACTCTAAAATTTTTACAATTAAACTTGCAAGTATTTATTATTGTTATTTTTATTGTTATATGTTTAATTTTGGCAAATTTAAAATGCAAAAATTAAAATGCATGTTCTGCAGCTAATCACACAGAAATGGCATCTGAAAGAGCAAAGTTATTGCTAAATGTATTAAACAGCAACAGTTACATGCAAAATATAATGCAATTATTTGTGGTTAATAACTTTAATTCTTTTCAGTTAATTTTTCCCTCTGTTTACTATCAGTGGTCAGTTGCAAATTGCTCAAAGAGATGAACACGAAACTGCAAAAGTGAAAACAAAGTTAATTCTATTACTTAGTATAAACACAAAAAATATTTTGCATTGAATTTGCAATATTTTTTTTCTTTTTTAAAACAGAATTAAGCATTCATATATCTACCCCAAACTTATCACACTTTCATATGCTACTAAGTTTACTAAAGCTAACCAAAGGTAGCACAGAAATATTAAACACAACTAAATCACTAATTGTATTTTCTTTTGGGAATAGTTATTTTACATATAGGCACCATTGATAGAGAAAATACTTGATATTCTTTCTTCCAGAAGGATATATTCTTGCTTCCAGACAGTCTATACATATTTAACCCCCTTCTTTGTCCATAGTCAAATGGCTGTAATTGCAAATGCAGCCATGATTAAACTTGCGAGGTTGGTTGATTTTTAAATTTTAATATTTTTTTTTTAATTTTTTTAAACTTTTTGTGACAAATCTTCACATCCCATGACAGAACTATCTGTACCAAAAAGTACTGCATCTACTGTATGTGAAATCACAGTCACATTTCTAAACCACCATTTCTCCCATCTGGAGAATGCAAATAGTGAAACCAATAGCAAAATCAGTCATGAACTGTTTACTTGATGGGCTTCACATCAGTGCTTGGGCCATCTCCACGAATTTCTTCTCTGTTCAAGTTTTCAGGATGACGAACTGATTCAGAAGAATTAACAAATCCAGTCCTGCGTTCTCTAAAGTCCCTTAATCGAGAACGCTGATCAGCAAATCTTCCTTTAGAAAATTCTCTGAAGTTTCCTAATAAAAAAAATTGATATATTTTATATATGTATGTATATATGAACAAACTATATTTAATAGCAAATGTGTGTTGATATCATCTTACTTTATCGACACATTATTTTATTGATAATTATGACATTTAAATAAAATTAGTCATTTAATTTAGCATAAATTATGTATATATGAGAGGAAAAAATAAGCAAATATTCTATTAAAACAGCCAAAGAAACATTAATGTTATGAATCTCTTGCATATATTTTTAATTATATGAATTATACAGTATATTTTGATACTTATTCCTTATTTTATAAAGGAGTAAACATCAAAATGTCATGCATAGCCAGATTCATAGTTCATTTACAACCAGTGATCTTTAATCTGCCAATCATACAAGTCTGACATTGCACTCCATTAAAACTGGAAGTCCTCTTGCTTTGAAAACTGAATTGTACTTACACAATATTTTAATTTAGAAGCGTCAAAATCTGCATACATTTTGATATTTATAATAAATTTATTGAAAACTATTTTTTGCCAAAATACATATAATTTCAAATGAAAAGGAATTACTGATGCATAACAAGTAATTTACTGGAAAACTTTGATTTAACACAATACCATCTGTTTGAAAGTTACTAGGAAATTCACTGGACAATGTTTTGTCTTGAATCCAACCTGAGGTTCCAACTCCTTTGGCTGGTAAGAAATGAATGAAAGAATACTAATGAATCATTCTACACTTTTGCTTTTTATTCAATCACGTGCTTCTTCTATTGTATACACAAATCAAACTGAACTTTAAATATACAAAATAGAACATTTTGCCATCATCAGTGCCCTCATACAATTTGAACAAAATATAGCTATATGCATAAGTAAAATGCAATATTTAAAATTTTTGATATTGTAAAAGAATAGTTCAACTTCTATTGCTATTATTGAAATTTGAACTGTTTGTTACACAGTCCCAATATATGTTTTTTCCTCATTTTTACCCCACAAACTGACAATTCTTCCATTGTTTTGGCAATGGTATATGTGAAGAATAGAAGTATTTTGACTAGTGTCAGAGCTCTGTGCATTGTGACAGCAATCAACAGACTGTTCAGAAATTCTGAATCATCTAAAATGTACAGTCTGTCACTGACTTATCAACACTTTTTGCTATTTTAAAAGGATGTCTTCAGAGACAAGCTATTACATGAACATTCTGAACTCGAGAGTTCATCATGCCATGTTTTCAACACCAGTCAAATACTTATTTTGCAGGCATTCCATAATTGCCAAAACAACAGGAGAGGAGTCAGAGTATGAAGGAGAACTCAAAGAGAAAACTGGTATCATGTAACACAAACAGTTCCATTGCTATTACTGAAATTCCAGACTGAAGTTGAACTACCTTTGTACAAAGTCATCTTGTAATTTTTCAAATAATATTGACAAAAATCTGACAAAATCTGTTCTAAAAGTTTATTATCTATAAAAGGACAAGTTATGATTATTTTGTATCTTTTTTATTAACTAGCCAATATTATACATAACTGACAGAATATCTAAATTTATGGCAAAAGTTAATTTTTTTCTTTCTTATTTTTAAGGAATCATTAAATTTTAATAATTCAACATCATATATTCCTTACTTGGTGCAGGCTGCCTGCTCTGAGCTTCTTGTTGTCTTAAGCGAGCAGCAGCTTCTTGCCTTTCTTTTTCTTTCAATTCCTGGGCAAGTTTTTCTACACGTTCTTTTGCTCGTTGTGCTACTTCTGAATATGTCAGTTTCCTCATAGGTTTATCATCCTAATCACAATAAAAATAAATAAATATGTTTTCTTCATTATAAGAGTCATACATGATGTGTATTTTATAAACAATTAGGATATGAAAAAAACATTATATTTAACTAAATTCTTTGCTTGTTTTGAAATGATTATAAATTACTGGAAAACCTCATTTAATGCAATTACACACACGACTTTATGACTTATTGTTGGTCCCTTTACAGTTGTATAATCCAGAGAGGTGTGTGTGTGTGTGTGTGTGTTCATTGGTCCCTTCAGAGTTGTGTAACAGAGTATACAACTCTAAAGGGACCAACGATAAAAGTCATAAAGTCATTTAAGTGAGAGTTGTAGAAAAAAGATTGACAAACTTAAACAAAAACTGTTAAAAATATAACAGTTTCCCTTCCAGTATTGATTACCACAGCTAAAAGCATTTTATTTTGAATTTAAAGGAAACAATAAAGTTAAATCTAGCAACATTACTACCTATGTCACCCAAAAACTAATGTGCATATTCAAGTTTTGCTGTAAAGCGCACTTGTGAGGCCAAAGTACAATACTCTATTTTTCTTGGTGTTAAAATCTCCTTAGGGTGTAAACCAGAAGTATGTGGATTTTGGAAATTTCACTGGCTATATGAAGGTAACTGACATAGTTTGACCATCCCTGATACACATTCTATCTATTTGTCAAAATTTGGAAAAGGCTTTTTGCAGTTTCCATTTCTTAACATAATATAGTATGATACTCACACCAAGTAATAGTAATTATTAGTATATTTTTATATTGAACGTTCATGTTCAATAAAAAAACCTCTTATTCGCCTGAACACGTCAGAAATAAATTCTTCGAAAGCCCTCGAAAAGAAAAATATTTAGTAACGCTGCACACAGTGAGCTCTACTTCCTATTAATTTGGAAAATACGCATGTAAATAAGTTACATACCAATGATGTTACCACTTGTTTTATAGTCAGCACCCATTCTCTTTTTAAAATCAGATCTTTTTAAAATCCAGTATGATAATCCTCTTTGCTTTATCATCTTTCTAGGCACCTGTTTGGCCTATAGCACAGGGACCTCACTCAGTTCTTATGATCAACAATCATGACAGTAAAGTGAGAGAAAAATACATTAGTCAGAAACTTTTGTAGGGGTGTAAAACTGAGTCATTGAAATGAAAGATTTTAAATATATTATCATCTCTCCTAGGCTTCAGCCAAGACCAATGAAAAATGTTGCATAAGTGAGACATTACTGTATATGTATAGCTGTGTGTATGTATACACACACACACACACACACACACAGCTATAATGTATGTAAGATCATTAAAATTAAAGAGTAATTTTGCTAATACTTATTTAATGAATAATTATACTTTATTTAAATATTTTGCAAAATAGTAAACAATGTTATTTGAAGTGTTAATATTTTCCATTCTTGCTTATAATTTAGGTGCCAAATCAACTAAGATCTCTGTACTTCTAACTTCTTTTCATATTAGGATCTAAGTCAAACAAAATTTCCTTGGCACCAGCAATATGATCAAGTTAAAGTATTCTTGTAGTTAATCCTTTAGTTGTAACATTCACTTCTTGTTCACATTCATGTAATACATGTCACCACTGTTGTGCTCTATTGCAGCTTCATGATTTAAGTTTCCGTCCTTCAGATTGCAATGTCTTATGTAAGGTTATAATAGTCTCCACTCTCTTTTCTTCTCAAATTAATTGAACATACCCAATCTTTTAAAACTTTTGCCACAAGCTTTGAAAGCTTACTTGTCAAAAGTTTAAACTATAGGTAGAACAAAACATTCCTACCCCTTTCAGTGTTTTGAAGTATGCCTATGGGAAGAGAATGACAGAAAAGAGAAGACATTCTCTCACTCTTCTGTTCTCATGAAGTACGAACTAACCTAAAGTGTTTGATAGTATCAGAACTTTACCTTTATGCTGGAAATTTTTATTTACAATAGTCACAAAACGATTTTTGGCCCTGTTTATGAACCCTCATCAGGTAGTCTATCTTTCCATTCTAGAATAACTCAAATTCTCCAAATGCTTTCAAATCAAATTTTTGAAAATATCAAACTTCACAATTGAATCATGTATCAGAGGCAAACAAGTAGTTGTGTTTTCTTTTCATTTTTCTAATTTCTTTTATAATGGAAAATATCTCCAAGCTGTCGGGAAAGTTTCCACATGTCTATAATTTAAACATAAGCTTAGAAACAAATGCAGAACTTGATTTTTTTTAATTGCCATTATGAGAGACTGAACCTCTTATGATTTTAGATTCCTCATTTGACTGTTCCTTGTACATTTACAATTGTTGCTGGTGCTGTATTACCTTTCCTGACATTGTATTGATGTTCTCTAATTCTGGTCCTTAAATTCCTCCTGGCAACTCAACATATGCTTTTTTTTTTTAGGTCCAGATCTTCATTGACTAATGAAACCCTATAAACTCCTGCTGAAGTTTGTCTGGAAGTGGGTCTGTGTCATTTCTACATATACTAAACGTTAGGGGCCCTTTTGTAGATCAATGTGGTATTCTTCCATTTAGCTACTTCCTCATCTGTGATTTTAAGTTTATTAGCTGTGTGATCATTTGCTTTTTCTATCCTTTTAATCCTTTCTATTTCCAAATCCTTGTCCATCCACCACACTTGTGCTGTATATGTGAAATCAGAAAATTATGCTGTATATTTGAAATCAACACACATCATCTAAGTTCTAAATGCTGAGGCTTTGTACTTGGCAGGGTCATTTAAGTCTGTGGGGATGTATAGGGAGCTGAATGTTGTTTGATGAACATCTTGATGATTTGTTCCTTTCCTAGAGTTATGAAATGTACCATTTTGACTTTTATGCTCAAGATTTAATTTTAATTCTTCTTCATTTTCATTAAACTTTTCCAAAAAGCTTGCAAATCAGAATAAATTAAAAGAAAATGCAAGTAGTTTGCCTTGACAATACACGATTCGATTGTAAAGTTCAATATTTTCAAATATTTGATTTGAAAGCATTCAAAGATTTTGAGTTATTCTAAAATGGAAAGCTAGAACACCTGACAAGGGTTTATAAATGGGGTTGAAAAATGTGACTATTATAAATAAAAATTTCCAGTGTAAAGGTAAAAGTTGATAGTAAATGATCCTTTAAATAATAATTATAATCAATGAAAGATATTAAATTTAGTCTTAACCAAATTGTTACGGTCTAAGACAATTTTTATTACTACTATAAAATAATCTATAAACAATGTCACCTGTTTAATTAACCTGTCACTCTCAAGAAAAGCAGCAAAAGAAAAATTTTTCAGTTTAATTTTTTTTTATAAATTATCCCGCAAGATCTTTTGCTTATCATTGTATTTGTTTAAATTCAAAATAAAACCAACCTCTATATTTGGAGGTGTTTCACTTTCTAAATGCCCATTAAATGTGATATGACTCTCTTCTATTTCAAGAGATTTGTTCACAGTTGGTTTTGTCATCACTTTTGATGTGGTCAACAGTTCTTGAATATTTATCATGGATGCACTTTGTGGGGGTGATGAGCTGCAACTTGAAACAACACAACTAGGTTTATTGACAGGTGATGAGGGAGCAACGGCAGTGGCAGTTGGTATGACTGGTGAAGGACTGACAGTTTCAGATTCCTCCTCTTGAGTTTCTGGAAATGTGTCTTCATTTATATCATCTTGAATATTAACAAAATTTTCTACACTGAAAAATAAATTGAGTTTATTAATATAAAATATCAATTGATAATTAAAAATATTTTGAATTTACAAGTATACTTTGATTTATGTACTNTTTTTTTTTTCTTCTTCCTAACTTCTCTTTCTGAAACTGATAACCATAAAAACGGTAAATCGATTAGTCCTTCATATAATACATCAGCTCTTGGGTGATTTTTGAGTCTAGCAAAAAGAATTAATTTTTCTAATTTACATCGTTTCTATTCTTTAGAAAATGTAGATTGAAATGTTAACTATTAAAAATTAAAGGGGGGAATATCATGTTCAATAATATATCAGAACAATTAACGTTTTAAAATATTTTTACCTTATCTTGCTTACATATTTTTTGGCTAAATTTTTGTCAATCTGAACTGACATTAACAAGTTAACATAGATTCACTCTCTTGGTGAGTAGGTAATAGACATGTTCAAAAAATTTAACCCATGAGTTAAAACTTGATATAAACTTAAATACATCATTATTATTGTTCTAATTTTTTTTAACATATTAAAGTATTCTTATTTGTACATCTATTCTCTAACATTTGAGCTCTAAGAGTTTGTTTGAATACATTATTAAATTCATGAACCTCATGAATCTTTAAACAATAAAGAAAAGTTGTATGTACAGTTTGCACAAGCAATTATAAAAAACTAGTGTCTTTATACATATATTGTTATTTTACTTTACATGGAAATTGAAATTTTATAAAATAAATTATATTAAAATTTATAAGCTAAGACTCAAGGAATTTGGTAAAAAATATGAAACAAGAAATTTAAAAATTATTTTAGTCTTTTCCAAAGTAAGAATAAAGCTGATAATCATTATTCTACCAATATATACAAAAATAGTTGTAAGTTCATTGCAAAACAGAATATAATATACATGGTATTTACAAATGATTTATATGGTATTTATAATTTGTTAATAAAATGTTATACTATACTTATAAATCATATCATATATACAGTAGCTCAATTTTTTATGTATACAGTTTTAGTATGATTGGTTTTGATGTTAGATGACCAGATTTGATACCAGATCCAAAATGGCGACCATGTAGCAGAAAGTAACGTGTGCTGTAGTATTACGAGCAAAATTGCCAATAATCTTGCAAAGACATTTCCACTTAGAGTATAAACATGATCCTCCTGGCAAGGACACCAAGTGTTGGTATCAACAATTCAAGAACATAGGAAACATGGAAAAGAGGAAAAGTTCCATCAGACCACCAGTTGGAAAGGAGATTGTTAGTAGTGAATCTTCATCAGTGAGTTTACTGTGACAATTAACACATCTTGACATGCTATGATGTTATGCCATAAACAACTGGAACACCAGAAACTAGATGTTTACTTTTAACATGATTATTCTCCATCACGCTGGGCATTGTCAGTGTAAACCTGTCTAGAATGACAACTTTCTTGACCATTAAATTGACAACCATAATCACCAGACCTTACATCCCTGGATTTTTTTTCTGGGTATATGTGAAAGGCTGTGTGTATGCATCCAAAGTGCACTGCACTAGTGAATTTAAGTAACAAATTATGGAAGTCATCCAAATGGTTACTAAGGAAATTATGCAGAGAAGTGGAAAATGGAATGTTGGTTGGATGTTGTTCACATTACAAATGGCATCCATATTGAATCCTTCTAAAGATGCATGTTTTTGATAAAACTGAGCTGCTGTATGATTTGATATATAATACAACTTTCTAAGTTATTTGGTTTATTTATAATTTGTTACACATACATGTTAACAGTTTAAACAATTTAAAACATTTTAATCTATTTAGAATTTTCAACATTTTTGCAAACAATTTTAAATCATTTAAAAACAAGACATGTGACATGTCTGAATTATCACTGCTTAGCTGAAATGACAGTGATAGATACTCAAAATCCAGCACATTGGCTCCATTCTTCTTCTGGGAAATACTATAAACAAAATGTACTATGGAAGTGTTGAAGTGTATCACATGAGGCATATATACTGGAGTCTACTGCTAAGCAAGACAAAAGTCAAGGCATAGTTATAGAAACAAATGTTTTGTTACTTGCTGTTTGTATATGTATCTGTTTAAGAATTTCCCAACTATATGACACGTATTTACTATTACAGCCTTCTGTAGTGTAATATATGTACTGTCGAAGCCCTAATATTTCAAGACTGTAGCATGTGGCATAATATCCATTTCCTATAGTATTTCTTTTTTAGAGCTGTCAATGAATGGACTATTTCCAATCATTCTAAATATTACAGATCAACTTGTGGTTTTAAGCAGAGCAAGACATTTCTTCCTAGTCTGCTTTCTGGGCAAACTAAAAATTTATCATCTTTTAATAGGAATCATTCTCTTTTCTGATTGGTTATCTGAGACTTTCATAAACATCTGTGCTGACTGAAACTTTTCTCCTTAGATTTTTTGTCACTTTTGAAGATCTGCTGAGAAGACTCCTCTGCATCTCATTTGAATGTGCACAGATCTTTGCTCAGACAAGTTCATCAGTTTTTTTTTTTTTTGGAACCCTGGTGACATCCCTTATCTTTCCATCTGAAGTCTGCTGTCTTCATTTTAAAGAGATTAGATTTCTGGAAGTAATCTCTTGCAGAATGCACAATGGTGGGAGCTGGTAGGTCAAACACACCATTGGCGTTTAGTCTACCAGCTCCAACCTGCAGAAGAAATCATATCATCTGTGCAAGAAAGGACTATTGACATAGTAAGTACCTTATCCATTCTCCATAGATGCTTTGTTTTGTGGATGAATTCATAGTATTAAGTAAACTGAAAAAAATTACCATATTTTTGTAGAATGATTGGCATGCCAGAAACCCTGGGTTGAGCGGTATGCTGGTTAAACTATGACTAAAATATAAAATTAATCAGATCTAACAAAACTAGTTGTTAATTAAGCATTAAAGAAAACATTCTTCAGAGTACAATAAAATAACATTGTAATTAGGTTGACTTAAAATCAGGAAGTAATGTTCACAGTGTAGATTATATTTGTAAGAGCTCATCCTCCCTCTTTACAAGGAAGAATCAGCCTTTCTATAGAGTTCTTAGCTAGTACTGGCAGAACACGTGATGATTACTTTAAATACTCTGTATTCAGTCATATTGTTATTATTTAGTTTAATCTGCTGTTGTAATCTTTTGTTAGTTTGTTTTATTTGTGAATGTGTCAACATATACAAATTGATCTTGACTTTAATACTGTGACCTTAAAATTTTAAATATTTCTAACTTCCACATCCATAAATTCAATGATGTTTCCATCTCCTGTGCAAAGCTATACTTCAAAATTTGTTCATCAATGTAATACATTATTTTGTATATATTATATCAATAATGTAATTCAACATACTACAGTATACTTGTAATCCATCACATTTTATTGTAATTATTCTCTTAAAAAGAAAAAAAAGAAACATACACTTCAGGGGAAGAAGGTGGAGTTAGAACTACCGGAGGAAGATCTCCATTTGTTAAGGTTGAACTATCTTTCATGGTGACATTGGAATTACTCAAAGCTGATTCAGATGTTTGAGTTTTGCTATCTTTCATAGATGGCTTAACTGTACCTTTGACGACATCTGATAAACGACTTTCAAATATATCAGCATCATAGCCTTCAGCTTCCTGAAAATAATTAGGATAGATTAATAATGTGTTTTGAACATTAATTTCAATTATATATTATATTGATAGTATGTAGCAATGTAGCAAAAATTTGAGAGGAGATACTGGAAGCAAAATATTTAATAACTTACTCAGTTTAAAAATAACAGTAACTAAAGTGTACTACAAATGTGCTTTCAAAATGCAACTAACTAAATAGCTGCTAAATGATTCAAGAATGAAATATTAAAATAGTAATTTATTATGTCTAAAACTTTAATCGCAGACTTTAAAATAGCATTACTCTAATCCAGCCTAATACACCTATGTTTCTTTTGCACTCAGTAATATAGTGTATCTTTAAAAAGTTTTTTTCCACACACAAACAATAAACCTGATTTTTAAGTAATGCCAAATAATCTGCTGTATTATCAGGCTATGATAAGGCAAATTTAATAGTTAGATATAAAATATTTATTGTTTATGTATGTATATAAACACCATGTTGAGGTAAAATGATAGGTGGCTGAGAGCCATAGATGCTAAAGCTGTCCTAAGTTGGAACATGAGAACCGATATGGTTATATCTAAATTAATAGCTCTGGAAGTGAAGATAGAACTAAGATCCAAATAGCAAGTGAATCTGCACAGTGTGCAAGAGTTGCAGGTTTTATTCCCACTCCAGGAAGATTCTATTCTTCCAGAAATTGAATCAAAAATTATTATATTGATGATGAGATGGTGGACTAGCCCCTAATTCTAGTAAAATTACTTTGTATCTAATTATTACATTAGTCTTATTATAGTCCAATAATACAGCAGACCATTTGGCATTCTCAGATAGGCGATATTCCAAATATAAATCGCTAAAAAGCATTTTATGTTGTTCAAAATATTTTAAAACAAAGTATGTGGTGAAAATGTACACCACACACCCATGATAATTACAATAATAAACAATGTACAAATTTTATTTCAGCATGATTTCTTTTCAATTGCATAATAATAATACTTATTAGCTATGTTAGTCAACATTGATCCAAAAACTATACTGAAACTATCATGCTACTTGCCACAGTTATTACAATTCCAGGTTATCACTGTTCTTTGGGAGACGATGGCATTTTGTATATTATGTTCGTTACTTGTGATGGCACTGCATTTTTTCAACATCTCATTCAATTTGAAGTCAAGCTCATATTTAGATCAAGCCCCACATACCCAAGAATACCTCAATATCAAAAATATTCATATTTTTTCTGATAAGAATATCATTGGCCTAGACTTAAAAAAAACTGCATAGAAGAATGTGTAATTCATCTCAAGGATGGATTTGAATGAGAGAAGTCAGGACTTGAAACCATTTGTTCAACTTTGAAAATAATACCAATGAGTACTTTTTGAAATATTTTCTCTAATGTATCATATATATCCCTGGCCTGTTAAAATATTATGTTTGGTCAAATACTGAAACGACAACATTAATATCAAATACCAATACTGTTGTTTTGATATAATTGAAATTAAACCAATAAATTTTCTTTAAATGATTTTACTGAAAAATTTATTTTTAAAAATGTAGCATGATTCTCCTGACAAACTTCATTTCATAATGCATTTTACCTTAATTTCAGTACAAAGCAATTCTAAATTTTGTTATATGTCGGAAATGTCACAAAATTTTTTGAGATTTGTGCACTAATGTTGAAGTTAATTTTACAGAAAAAAATAATAATAATAATGTTAAAATTTAAACTGTGAAAGCATTGTGTTTTTCTTCACTTATGATCAGTATGCAAAACTTCACTATTATCAAATTTATTGCCAAAGTAGAATATGGCAATAAATCTGATTATTTTCATGTTTATACACTATGATCTATACAAACAACTTCAAATTTATATACTGTATGTTAAGAAGTTAACAGACCACTATATTTTGTTAGTTTTCTCAAAACAATGTTTAATGGTCACCAATTATTCTGAACAAAATAAATACAATAAATAATCACATCTGGAACAATTAGTTCAACAATCTTAACATATTTTAGTTATAAGTTAAATTTTCACTGTTAATAAATTATAAGACCACCATGAGAAAATAAATTTTTCCTAATGAAAGGGATTAAACTAATCATCTAATTTCTCTCATTTAATTTTAAAAAATTTGAATATAAATACTAATACTCACAAGTGACCCTGGAAGTGGAGGAAAAGATGAAGCCTCAAGATCAAATTTAGGGCATTCTTGTTTGGCACTGGGAGATTTGTTGCCATAGTCTAACCCATTTCCATTTGCATCACCCTAAAAATATTTACATTATGTTTCATATTAGATGAAATGTAAACATTATTAATTTATTTAAGAACAAAATATATTTTATTTCTGTATAATTTAATGCATAAATTTAACTTAAAAAATGAAATTTTTTTTACAACTTTTACTAACTTCAGTCAAATAAGCAGCTATTTTAACTCTTACATACATTATATACAGGGTGTGTAAAAAGTAACTAGGCATTGAGAAATTAGCACAAAGATGAAAATTCTTTGATGAACCATACTAAATGGAAATATGGATGACCTATATTAAATTTTAAGGTAAGCCACCACCAACAAAGAATTTCCCTCAGATCATGATGTGACAACCACTTCTCTGCATCTGCAACCAAATCTACAATCATTTTTAGCTTTAAATAAAAATTCTTGGTTGTTTCTGAACAGATTGCAGCATGACATCCCTTACACTGTATGCTATCATCTCTGCACAGCAACAACTGACTTTCACGTCTCATAGAATGCAACAATTTGCACTCATTCCTAAACAGACAAGTTGACAGCCATCTTTTTTGCCACTGGACGCGAGGTCTCTGTCACTGCCCACAAATTTTATTATGACTGCATTATTATTGCAAAATTTATAGCAATTTTATAATGCCTACTTGTTTTCTATCCACTCTGTAGAACATCATTCATTCCATTCAAACTATTTTCTGCATCCTTCCATTCACTCTCTTGCTGTTTATTCTTTTTACCATCCATTTCCAGGCAGTTGACAAAGTATCCATATCAAATATTAATAACTTGATTCTTATATTCTTAATTTTTCAACAACCAAAAGTTATCCCCATCCACCACTAATATCACTTTTGTCCCATCAAACTCCACCTTCATCTCCCTATCATATATTTCATTGTTAAGTGTCATGTTCTCCATCTCCCAAGTATCTTTCCCATTCTCCTTTACAGTGTCAGCCCAAGCAAAGTAGATAAATAGAAGTATACTTCTTGGGTGTTATGATTAAGAGAGGCATGTAGTACTTCATGTCCATTTACTGTAATGACATTTACAAATTTATTTGTATACCAAGCATGTTCTATGACCCAAGCCAGTATGATATAGCAGCATTTAGAACCATAGTGCAGATTGGTGGTAGCAAGAGCAACATCCAAAAATAAAAAAAAATTCAAAAACTGAGATAAACTTAATTTGTATGCTAGTGGAGTTTTATGGTTTGAGGGAAGGTACAGAAAAAAAAATATGAAAAATTTGCAATAAAATACAGGACAAGAAAGAGAAAACAAGAGGGTGAGAAGAATACTGGTCCGCTGAACTGAGTGGCAAGCAAGAATATCTGGTGTTAGATAGTAAAAAACCCAGCATAACATTGGTATTTAAGTAAAATAGAACAGTGTTCATCTCCCTGGAAAATAATAACGAGAAAAGTATGGAATACAGCACAGTATGAATTATAATATACTAATAATAGACTGAAGGCTCATAAAAAGCTTTACATTAAGGCAACAACAAAAAATTTATCAAAACAGATAAAGGAACAATGGGGAAATATACAAGAGTGGAGAACACAACACTGTTTAGTTTATTGCTGTTTTATGACACAAGGGTCTCATGGGCCATGCTGTATGAACATCCCGTATAACACAATGCTTTTATAGCATGGGTCCACTCTAACACAGTTTGAAAACTGGGTAAAACCCTCGTACAACATGAAATGTAATAAAGGGTGTGTTCTTTTATAACTCCGTGTAATAAATCTGATTTAAATAAGGATTTAACAGCACATTTTTTAATTTTTGAAACCTAACCCCCCTTTTCGTACTAGTTCTTTGTTTCGTGTAACATGGATTTGCATAACACTGCAGTTTTTGGAACACAATTCCTGTGTTATACGGGGATTACCTGTATTATAAAAATGACAAAAACGAAAACAGATGTTTTCATTATATGTGATAGAATTAACAATCATAATGAGCTAAAATAATATAACAATGTGACCAAATATAGTAATGGTAAAAGAATAATTAAAAAAACTGCATAAAACTAATCAACAAAAACAATAAAAGCAGACATATAAAGCATAAAATGCATGACCCAAGACAGGTAAAACAGATTTAAGTAATAAAATAAAATCTGATAAAATCAGAAAACAGTTTATAAGATCAAATCTCTCTTAAAACCTTAATTCTAAAAACACAAAAAGGCATATAGTTAAAATCTTTGCCACCTAAGGATTAAAAGTTTAAAATTGGACTAAGTAAAATATGCTTGATAGTTAACAAGTAGTGGCATGAAAGGCATTCAGATGGATCCTCACCCATTAGGAGATAATGGGTGAGACAACTGTTCTATAAAGAATTGTGCCTGGATGACTTCCTCTTGTTTATTCATGCAAATGCTCAATTCCCACAATTCTCTAACTGGCTTGATCTCATGCAGTTTATTGGTAGTCTGATTATTAACATTGCCATAATTCACATAGTTTGACCTTAATGATCGGTTTTAAATCACTGTAGAATATTGCTGGAGGGAACTGGCTGAATAGGAAGACAGAATTTGTTGCTATGTCAACCAATTCATTTCACCTTATGGCTGTCTCTGAGGTCCTAACAAAATCTGACTTGGTAGTCTCCATGAAAAAAAAGTTGGTATAATAGCTGCTAAATCTTCTGTATGAGACGTGCCAAGAAAACTGCAGAGAGTTAAAAGCCTGCATCATACCAAGTGAGTTTGAAAATATTATAGTGCAATGACATCCTTTGTTTATAATGTTTCAGTGTTTAAGTGGATGGCATACAGTTCAACAGAGAATACAATGATAGCTGATTTGGCACTTAGCAACAAAGCACATAAATAGAGTTTTAGATGACTGAAAAATTAAAAATTTAAAGAAGAAAGTTATTAATACTAAAGATGTGGATGCTTTGTTGATTTCCTGGAAATGGATGGTAAAAAAAGAACAAAAAGACAAGTAAGATATTTTCAGATTGTATCACCCAAAAACAATATTTGCAGACTAACTCTGAGGATAGCCAAGGAAAAAAAAAATAAATACAAGCTTATCATTATGATAATATTTGAGTTATTTAAAAAAAATACTTTAAATACATGAAAAAACTTACAGATTTGTTAACTTCTTCTTTCTTTTTTCTTCTGTTCCTATTCCTGCAAGATTTTTGTCATCATTATTTTAATATATGTTTTACGAAACAAAATATAAAATACCTATAGTAGATCTAACAAATCTACTATAGATATTTCACACATGAAAAGAGCATCTTGAAAAATATTACAAGTTTCTTCAAAAATATTTAATTTTAAGTAGAAATGCATCAACTTTGAAATCGTATTAGTGAAATCTGATAATTTGTGCGCTGATAGTGAATAATTGGTCAATTAATGCCATTGATGCTAATGATAATACTATTATTCTTTTTATTTGTTAATATAATTTAAAACTGATGTAATTTCGTATGAATTTCTGAATTAAATAATTCAAATTAATCTGACTTCATTTAATTCAGGTAATAGCAGGTCAAGGGAATGATTTCATGTTTTAGAATAAATATGACTGGTTAAAATGATAACTATTTATTTCTGTCTATCTATACCATCAGAAGTATAGATATGTATACTATATATAAATTCTATGTATAAATTCAATTCAAATAAACAAATACTTCTTTTTATATTATTGTTGTTCAAACTGTTTTTAAGTTATCTGATATAAATAACTTTGTATTACAATTTTACATCTAAAACAAGATAATTACAGTTACACATGCTTTTTAGAAACAAACAAACAACTCACAAAATAAACGTTTATTTCTGAGTTTTAAAATCTTATTGAAATTCTCTTAACTGAATACAATGTTTAGATGTGTTTATGAAATTTCACACTAACAAAAATGTTTAACATTGTATTAATTATTGGTTTAAATCTATTAATTGGCTGTTACGGTAAACTGAAATTAAATCAAAATTAGCAACTTAATATTTAACAATTTATAAAATAACAAAATAAACAAACACAAGGAAAAACAAATTGAAATAAGCCAAGATTAGCTCAAGGTTTTTCAACTTTAGTTTTCAATAAGCCTTGTAGGTTCTTTTACAATCAGCCATTTCTATTGATTTAGATAAGACTGATTTTTTTATTTATCTATTTTAAATATTTTTGAAGAACTACCTAAAGATTAAAAAAAACTATTGACGTTCTCTCCATTTCACATTTCTAACAGTCTCATCACCTATAAAATTAATATCATTTTCTTTTCTACTTTATATTTTATGCCATTTCCACTAAACTAGCAATATCTTGGCTTTACAAATAATTCCAGCATTACGTAAGGTAGACTTCAGAAAAAAAATTTTCTAACCCAACTCGAATTCTCTGAATTTCTTCAAAGTTTTTCACAAAGATTTTTCTTAAAGAACATTGGTGTTCATTTCATAATTGTTTTCATGCTATAAATTCATTATATTAAATTATCCAAAAACTGTCAGATTTCACTTATAGACAAGGTTTATGTTGTTCATTTTAGCCAATTCCTTGTATATATGTTAATGCAGAAGAAACCAGCTAAAACAAATATCATAAACCTTGTCTATAAGCACAATCCTGTGGTTTTTTGAATTCTACATAATAAGGATCCACTTATCTGTACCAAATCCTTAGGTGCTAAATTATCACATATCCTGAAATCTTATTTTCATGTTTATCCTAATCTGAGGTAATATTGAAGTTCTATTAAAGAAAATATTACTTGCAATAAAAGCAAAATGTATGTTACAGCATTACTCAGACAATTTCTAGAGATACGAACATTCTTTTCACTGATGAAAATATTTCAGTATGGAAGTGGCTTTCAACTGCCAAAATGATACCATGCATCAGGTAACTCTGAATGTGTCAAACTTCATTTTTCCAACAGATTTACTTCCAGCAGACTGAACTCAATCCATATCAGTACAAGACCTGCAAGAAGACACTCCAGTATTCACTATCTGAAACGATCTTTCACACACTAACACTTTTCCCTTTGGAGACCCTGTTGTAATGCTACTGATGAGTGACAATAGATTGAAGGTTTGTGTGAAAGCCAAAAGCAGCCATTTTATAAATGAATATATCCATGTATTTATGAGTATACTACTTAATCATATAACAATAAAATACCTTTATATTATTTTATTTCATTGAAATTACTTGTAACAGTATTTAAGGGTAAGACCATACACACACACACACACTATTATGTAAAGTAGTAGTTAATTAGCTCTCCCATATTAGACAGCTACTGGTGCATATAGTCAAACCATTTATACATTTTATACTATGTTAAATATTTTCTGCACAGTACTTATTCTATTATAAAACACTTGTTATACCTTCACTTACACACTAAATTTCAGCACTTCTTTTCCTCACTTGTGTGTATAACACACAAAAAATTGAAAAGTTTGAAACAATTATTAAAAAGCAAATTATTCATGCCCTTCAAACAGGTCCACACTAACATCAAGTTGCCAGCAAGTGCAAAAAGTACAGCAAATAATCCATAATATGCAATACCATTTCTAATGAATTTTCCATTTAGCAAATTCCACTGCCAGTCCAAAACTTTGAAAATTTTTGTTTCCACATTTTGTAGTGTGAAGCAATTTCCCTCATCCAATAAAATTCTATTTCCAGTTTTTCATGCGTTTTCTTTTTCACATGTATGCAAGCTAACCTTCAGAATGACACAATATTCTTTCAGTTGACTGGAGTTGACACAGACAATGTAACAGTCCACCAAAAAGCAACAAGCAAAACCTTTACATTTGAACAAAATATAAAAGAAAAACCATTATACATATAGTAAATTGAAACTTTGTTAACAATTTCATGTACAAATTCAGTTGTACAATGTTAATCTGAATATAGCTATCACAAAAGTGTACATCCATATTTACTGTGAAAGCAATTCAAAACTAGTTTCACTTATATTCAATATATTTTTCTCAGTTCTCTTGAAAAAACGAGAATGGGGTTTGATTAATGAAGTAGTTTTAATTTTTACTGGACACATCTAATTTTTAAGTGACTTTACTATGAAAAACCATTTTCTATAAATTGCATTTCTCAAAATACTTCCATAAAAAGAAAAATTTTCTGAAATTATAAAAATTATACTGTATTGACATTTTAATATAGGAGGACATTTTATACTATGTCAAAAACTATAATCATAAAAGCTTAAAATCACAATTAAACTTTACTTGCATTCAATAATGCTATCAGTCGTCATGTTTTTTGATAGTAAGTAAGTATATATTTATTTGTATTTCTAATTTATTGCCACTATTTTAAAGATCTCCAAAATAAATCTAAATGACCAGAAAATTATATTCCTAATGAAAGTGTTTTCTTATAAAAAAAACTAATAATAATTGGACATCTGTAATATAAGTGAACAATATATAAATTGACTTGGTTTCTACATATTCATAAAAATGTATAAAATATGAAATTTATAAGTCAAACATGAAAAGTGACATGTCAAAAGTGCTGCATTTGTCACAACACAAATCTCCCGCAGAGTAATTTATTGCTGTGATCGGTTTGTTACTATCTGCTAACTTTTTTGTTCTTTGTGAACATAGGTTGCTTTTAAGAAGTGCAGATTGTATTTACATACAATCTGCACTTAGTAATATAATTTTAAATACTTTAGTATTAACCTTAGAGACATAGCCCCTAAAAAATAATCTGTGTGAATGAAAATGTTGTGTTCCCGGTAATTGTAAGCAATGGATTTATGAAAATTTATTTCTTCAATTTAGTTTCAATGGATTACTTATTGTAAGCAAAGAACTAAGTCTAAACAAGTAATTATGAATTCAGATATGCTAACCTGAGAAAAGAACTATCATCAGCATAGAATCATATGTCACAGTTGGAAATTGAACTAGAGCAATGTTTCCCCATCCACCCCATTTCTGATATGACATCATTATAAATGTCTTAAAATTGGAGTAAACTATCTTAATTTACCAAAATGATAATTGTGACTTTTATTATCTGAAGTTTATTCTAAAATAAGTTTGTGTTTTCAAATTATAATGTTAATATAATATACCTAATAATTGTATTAACTAAATATATGAACAGGAAAAAAAATCCCTTTTATCATTCATAAGGTAGTTCTTAATATTTTGAATATTTATCAACAAATTATTTTCTAATAAATTTAAATTAATGAAATCTGCCATTTTCTCTACATCATACATAATAATATGTCACTACACTGTCTTTTTGCATAGGCTTTTCCAGAGTGCTTGATCATGATGTCAGAAGAATACAACATATCTTTGGATAAGTTTTCGTGTAACCGTGGTAACTTGATGATGTACAGAAACATCTTTAGACAGTCACTTGCAAACTGGAAGTATCTAGTCTGTTCATTCCACATTACTGGTATGAACATGCTGATTGGCGAGAGACTCGGCATATTAGTAATTCTATGTAGACAAAGTTGCTGAGCTCTTGAAGTCAATGTTGTCCAATTGGGTAGCTTACCTGATCAAACTCTTATTCCTTAACTCAATGTTACAAATAGCAGTAGCACTAGCATGCATATCCAAAGTCAACACTTTGCTTATGCCAGAGCTACTGAACCAATTCTTTGGTTCCCTCTGATTTAGTTTGATGTTTGGTTCGAATCTTGCATCATAACATATGATGGAGCCAATTTAGCATATACATAGTTTATAAAGACAATAATTTCTTATACCAATTTGAACATATTTTCATTTTAAGCATTGTACTAATGATGTACATAATTATCAAACATTGCATTTAAAAACTCAGTAAGTGTTAACTAATATTCACACATATCTTGATACACCTTATAGTATTGGTGTGCTTATTTAAAGGCATAAAAAATTATTTGTTAGCTTTTAGTGAGTTATCTGCAAGTCTGTCCTTCACACAGTTTCTGGAAAATTCATAACAGGCATCTCTGAATTTATGTATTCAGTATCATTGTAACAATTTTCAGCAACCTTTCCCCAATTTTTGATAATCACTTGATTAATAGGACTCTTAGAAATAAAAAGATTGTATAACTTCAGAATTAAAAACAAATTTTTTTTATTACATAGTAATTTAAAAACATTTA